TTACAGAATCAATTCAAAACTAATATATTTTATTAGTATAATTGCTTCATTCTTAATTTTAGGCTAAAATAAAGCAATTTGTGATATTTTGAATCGATTTGGCTCAATTTTAAGTTAGAAATTAACCTAAATCAAAGTATTTCAACAAAATACTGATTCAAATAAAAGTTTTCTTCTAAAATAAAGCAATTTGAGCTATTTTTAATCCAATTTTGCTCGATTTTAATACAGAATCAATTCAAAACAAATGTATTTTTTTAATATAATTGCTTCAATCTTAATTTTTGGCTAAAATAAACCAATTTGTGATATTTTGAATCGATTTGGCTCAATTTTAAGTTGGGAATCAAGCTAAATCAAAGTATTTCAACCAAATACCGGCTCTAATAAGAATTTTCTTCTAAAATAAAGCAATTTGAGCTATTTTCAATCCAATTTTGCTCTATTTTAATACAGAATCAGTTCAAAACTAATATATTTTATAAGTATAATTGCTTCAATCTTAATTTTAGGCTGAAATAAAGCAATTTGTGTAATTTTTAATCGATTTGGCTCAATTTTAAGTTAGAAATTAACCTAAATCAAAGTATTTCAACAAAATACTGATTCAAATAAAAGTTTTTTTTCAAAATAAAGCAATTTGATGAACTTGGAAAATTATTTTTCCAACAGAAATAAATAGAGTCAAAGTGCAAACTTTAAACCCTCATAACTTCAAAATTTTTATAGATAAGATTTTTTTAACATTTTTTCCATGATCCTCATATGGCATTTTTCTCTGTGGCGCGAGTTCTGGCGCACCCTGTATACCAAGGCATATCTGAAAACATCACAAGTTTCTACTTATTATTACAGTGGAACACATTTCAACTACAATTGTACTAAATTTTTAATTTTATCTCAAAAAAACAATTAAATAAGTTTTGATTGATTTTAGATAAGATGTAGTTGGTGAATTTCGAAATTTATTTGATTTCTTAAACCCTTCCAAATTTATTGCCCTTTCCATTATTACTTCAAATAAGCCGTAGATAATGATAATAATCCTCCATTTTTCATCAAAATCATCATTAAAATACATTAAAAGTTCATTAAGTCTCACATAATCAGATCAGCAGATTAAGCCCGAATTAACCAATAATAATCAAAAACTGCACTCGATTCAGTAATCACAACCATTGATAAGATCCAATCACTCACCTCAACGACCTTATCAAACCCATTTTCCTTGATCACCTCTCGAGCAATCTTACTCACGTTGCTCGCCTCCACTGCATAAACTCTGGCAGCCCCAGCTTGGGCGCAAAAAACCGACAAAATCCCAGTCCCAGCCCCCACATCCAAAACAGTCCTCCCCTTGATCTGAGCAACATTATCAAAAATCGCCCGTTTGTAAGCCCCATTCCTCGGTGCATCTCCCAACATCAGCTGATGAATCTGAAATAGATAAACCGGCGATAAGGACGTGATTTTCGACAGTTGGCGACATCAAGATGGTGAAGGCACAGGTGTACACCGTTGCGAAAATTTTCGAGGGCGAAATCAAAGAAAGCGACTTGAAGGTGCACGAGGAGGAGTTACCGGCGCTCGAAGATGGGGGTAAGTACCCCAAATTTTGGAAATTAGAGAAAAATAAACGGTTTTAGAGTATTTGGCCGAAAGTTTGTACCTCAGTGTGGACCCCTACATGCGCGCCTACGCCAGGGGGTACACCATAGGGCAGGTGATGATCGGAATCCAAGTCGCCAAGTATGCACCCATCCTGGGTTTGAGTCCCGAATAACGCTCAAATTTTCAGAGTAATTGACTCGAAAAACCCCAAATTCCCGGTGGGGGCCATCGTCGTGGGCAATTTCGGGTGGCGTAGCCACACAATCGTCCAAGACCCCAACAACTATTTCGTCTATGTTTTGCCCGACATTGGGATTTTGTCCCCTTCGCTGGCTTTGGGCGTCTTGGGGGCCCCCGGAGTGGCCGCTTATTTCGGCTTTTTGGACATCTGTCGGCCCATAGAAGGCGACACTGTGGTCGTGAGTGGGGCTGCCGGGGCCGTGGGGAGCCACGTGGGGCAAATTGCCAAAATAAAAGGATGCAGAGTGATTGGGATCACCGGGTCGGAGGACAAAGCCCGTTGGTTGGAATCCCTGGGTTTCGACTACGTCATCAACTACAAAACCACCAAAAATCTAGCCGAGGATCTGAAAATCGGGGCCCCCAAAGGAATCGACTGCTATTTCGATAACGTGGGGGGCGATATGAGTACCACCATCATGGAACTGATGAACCAAGGAGGGCGCGTCTCGGTTTGTGGTTCCATCTCGTCGTACAACGCCAAGAACCCAGTCAGAGGTACCAGTCAAAAATTTTGATTTCGGGAAGTATGTTTCTGGTTTTAGCTGCGATTGTGCAACCGGCGATTGTTTCCAAACAACTAGAATTGAAGGGATTTGTGAGTTTGCAGTTTAGGGATCGGTGGATGGAAGCCATTAAGCAAAACCTAGAGTGGGTGCAAGAAAATAAGTTGAAGTATCGCGAGACCATCACTGATGGGTTCGAAAATGCCACAAGGGCGCTTATTGGGGTTTTGAAGGGCGAAAATGTGGGGAAAGCGGTCGTGAGGACCAAGTCGTCGCACGTGGAACACGAGTCCGTGGATTTCAACCATGCACTAAGCAAATTTAGGAAAATTCAAGGGGTTTGAAATTTTATTTAATAAGTCCGGAACTAGGTACAATTTTTTTCCAAAAATAAAAGCAAAACTAAATCAATAACATACAGTGTGTTATTTCATTTGTAACCCCAAGAGGTCTGTCTAGGAGAAAATAAAACTTTTTTAATTCGCAATTATTTATCAAAATTATCTATCAAAAAAACGCAACTTTTCAAAATTATTCTCAAAAAACACTTCTTTACATAAATTCTATTGTTTTAACTACACACCAAATAATTGTATAATTTATTCAAATATTTTTGCTAAATAAATAAATTTTAATGTGACTTTCTTGAGATGTTTATTTTTCCTCTTCCTAGACATCTAAAAAAATTAACAAGAAATGTTTTTCGCTAGTTTTAATACATTAAGAAAAAAACTTGTTTTTATGGCTTAGATTCTAGAAAACGGTAACTTTGGAACAATTTTTATTTTCATTATTCAAAAAAGCAAAAAATCAAAGAACATACATCATTGTTTAGTGATTTTAAGAAGTAAAAGAGGGGTACTAATAGGACATTATGTAATTAGAAGTAAAAATGATAGTTTAATTCAACTGAGCCACATTAACTCACTTTTACACCGAAAAACATATACTATTTTATCCGCAAACAGATCGAGAGTAAAAAGCAACACTATAATTAGCAAGTAAATAAACAAAATAATCAGGACGTTTTGTGATGAAATCGTAACAACGCTTATAAACAAACATCACGCGTCAGTTTCGGAATTTGTGTTAAAATTTTCGAAAGTGTTTACTAATTTAACTAGTGCAGTTAGTAGTGCAAAATTTTAAATGCTAATAATCTACAATGTCCCTCTTCAAAAATTGCTAAATTAAAGAGAGAAACAACATTAGTCAATAGTGTTAATGTCGTAGTAAAAATTCTTAGGCGCAAAAACAAAATTAAAAAAATTTTTTTTGCTTGTGACATTTAGTCATAAAAGTGGTCACTTTTGTGACGTTTGTCATTTTTTTTTCAGAATACTTCATTATTTGTTATAACAAAAAAAGTTATAAATAGAGAAAATTAAGTCGTCCTTTTTGTCACTTTTCGAGTTCTCTCATTATACTAATTACTCCGTTCTCTGTATAAGTCACTACCTTTTGCTTTTCATTAATTTTAATTTTTATTTTGTCAACCAAGAAGAATCATTAATTTTTTACAGGATTTAGAAAAAAAGATCTTTGTACAGTTGGAGACAAAATACTTTGGTCGCCAATGTCACTTGAGTGACATTAAATTGTAAAGCTTGCTTTAGGACTGTTAATCTTATTTTTAGCTACTGTCAATCATAGTTGACAAGTTGTATCTACATATTTTTGACAAGAAAATATTCATTTTAATGTTAAAGCTTGATAATTCAAACCTTTTTTAATGTAATCATTAAAGTGTCAGAAAAGTGACGACCAGAGTATTTTGTCTCCAACTATACTCATTTCTTGAATTTATTATATGCAACCAACAATCCGCGTGCATAGTTGGTTGCTTGTCCCTTATTTAAAGAAAACACCAAATTATCATTTAATCACGTGTCATGGCATCCATCCGAAGCACCATATCTGCCAAACAAACCAGAATGGTAATCGCCAAGAAAATAACCATCAACAAACGGTTCGATGGCATGCCCAAACCATCCGACTTCAAAACAATCGAAGAAGAACTACCACCACTCAAAACCAACGGTGAGTGTTTTGATTGGCTAATACCAATTGTTTTCTCCCAGAATTCCTTGCAGAGGCGGTTTTTTTAAGCGTGGATCCCTACATGCGCGCTTACGCCCATAACATCCCATTGGGGGCAACCATGGTAGGGACCCAAGTGGCAAAGTACGTATTTTATCCCCTCACGGGAGAAAAACCACGAAAATGGTTGCAGGATAATTGAAAGCAGGAACGAGAAATACCCAGTGGGCAAACACGTAGTCGGGAAATTTGATTGGCGCAGCCATACGATTTCCTCGGGACTTCCCAGTCACGTCCAAGGGGCGGGAAACGCACCAGCTCCTTATCTAGTCCCAGATTTAGGTGATTTACCCATGTCGTACCTTTTAGGGGTTTTGGGAATGCCGGGATCGACGGCTTATTTCGGCCTTTTGGATGTTTGCATGCCGAAATGTGGGGAAATAGTTGCTGTTTCAGGAGCGGCGGGTGCTGTGGGCTCCATCGTGGGCCAAATTGCCAAAATTGGGGGTTGTAAGGTTGTTGGTATCACAGGGTCGGAGCGCAAAGGGCGATTTTTGGTCGACCAAATGGGTTTCGATGGGTTTGTCAACTACAAAACGGACGATATTGCCCAAAAACTGGACCAGTTGGTACCAGAAGGCATCGATTGTTATTTTGACAATGTTGCAGGGGAGATTAGTTCGGCGGTTATACGACATATGAGGGAGTATGGGAGGATTTCAGTTTGTGGGTCCATTTCGTCGTACAATTATGATGTTAGTGACCCTCCCAGAGGTGGGGCCCTTAATCCACATAATTGGTACTACTAGTACCTCAGTTTCAGTTGTTCAACACCACATGGTCAGAAAACAGTTGACAATGAAGGGATTTCAGAATTATTTGTACCAAGACCGGGCGAGTGAAGCTTTCCAGAAAACTCTCAATTGGTTGCAAAAAGGGAAAATGAAATATTGCGAAACCATCACTGAAGGTTTCGATAATATGGTCCAGGCGTTTATCGAAATGTTGCAAGGGAAAAATTTGGGCAAAGCTATAGTTAAAGTTTAAATGATAATTTTGACACCACTTATCTTGTTTTCTATAAATAAAAACATTCAGTTTTTAACGCAGTCGCAGTCTTATCTTCTAATTCCCCCAATGACAAGCATTTAATTATCAGAAGGGCCACAACTGTACTAGGAAACACGTCAAAAAACGCTACATCATAGTTGCAATAATCTCGTTTAACCTTGTCCTCCCGTCTCACTACTACCGGTATAAATAAACACAAACAATGTCATCGCACATTATTAAACGTATGCTCAGTGGGTGTGTAAACATGGTCAAAGCCAGGAAATACATTTTCGAAAAGCAATTCGAAGGGTTGCCCAAAGCCACCGATTTGAAACTTGTTGAAGAGGAACTACCACCGATCAAGGATGGAGGTAAAACCTTACAAAAACGTTATTTCAGCTGAAATCTAACCTCATTTTGTAGAGTTTTTAGCAGAAGCGGTCTATTTGAGTGTGGACCCTTACATGAGGGCCTATGCCCCTGGCTTGACTCTCGGCAGGACTTTCATTGGGTCGCAAGTGGCAAAGTAAGTAATCAAAATCGTAAAGTAATAATCAAATTAACTTGCATGTAAAAAGTTGGAAAGAATATGAGTTATGACAGTTTCGGTTAAAATTATACTTATTAGGACATGTTTTAAAGCATGTTTTGACACTTATTTGATTGTAAGTATTCGAATTTTTCGTAAGAAAATTAAAAATTTGAGGTGACGATAAAAAAGCTCTTTTGTTTTGCTCTCTTTCTCGTTCTTATGCTTTGGTCTCTCATTTGCTTTTATGCCTTAATGCTATCTCTCTCTTATTTGCTCAATGTGTTTATGCGCATGTTTAAATTTCGCGCATTTATGCCCCCGCCATCTTTTGACAGTTATTTGAATTGTATTTGAATTAGAGAAAAATTGCTGACTTCACCGGAGTTCGAACCCCACCACCACACCGGCCGACAGATTCTCTGCTCTAATCCAATATACAGGCTGTTCGGTCCAAGTCGCCCCGTCTGATAACACCCAAACTTACTTCGTTTTTTCAAAAAGTAAATCTTTAAGTAATAATATTCATTCTTAGCTTTCTTAATAAATGTATCAAATTTTTTTAGCACATCCGGTGTTGCCGGAAATGCTACCAAATTTAGTTTTTCAAATGGAACAACTATGTTTTGTTTCCTCCAAACAATAATAATTGACATGAAAAATACTGTAAACCACTATTTATTACATTTTGCGTAACACAATGCAATTAAAAAAACATCTTAAATCTTAGAATTTCATAAGGAAATTGGTCGCGTAGCCTGATTTTCAATTTTAAAGGAAAAGTGTGAATAAAAAAATGTTTGGATACAGTTTAATTTTTGGTTTGACAAATCTAATTTGTCAGTTGATGAGCGAGTTCTCTTATGAAAACTCTTGGATTTTCTTCGACTGATAACAGAACATTCAGATTTCTATTTTCTTGTTCTTCACAAAGAACCATAGGTTTTTTAGTTTTAAGAAGCGAAACTATTCGTCTCAGTTGTTTTTCAATTCGACTAAATTTCCAACGATTTGGGTAAACTCTATTTGGGTATTTTTCTCTATACTGTCTTTCGGCTTCCGCTCTATTTTTATTGTACTTAAAAAACCCTTCAAGTTGGTAAATCAGCTTCGTAATTCGTCGTAATATATCATCCATTATTAAAGATCTCAATAAGATTTATTGATAAATTAGGCTTTGTCAAACTAACAATTAAAGCGTATCCAAGCATATTGCTTTTTGGATGAATATCTTGACAAGTAAAATCCGCCTACGTTGCAAAATTTGCAATAAAATTCAAAAATTTAAATTGTCATCTGAGTGTTTTATACAGGGTGTTTCACGTAATTTTACGAGGCCTGCGCCTGTAAGATGCAATCAATAATACATATTCCGATACGAACTCGATTACAAATTTTGAAAAATTGAATAATCTTCTCTAGTTTGTTCACCCTTTAAAAAATTACAACGTTTTTAGTTAGTTAGTGATTAAGATAGATAAACTACAATCATATTCATGCCGTCTCTTGATAGAATAAATGATAATTGTTTCTGAAAAACTGCAGTTTATGACTATTAATGAAACAGTGATTAGTTTGACAACTACTGTCATGAGTTTCCAAAAATTAAATAATTAAATTTGTATTTTTTGTATCCAGTGTTCTGTGACTTTTGTATATTTGGGTGCGTACATTAGGTGCAAACCTCGTAAAGTTATGTGAAACACCCTGTATAAAGTAAAATGTAATAAATAGTGGTTTACCGTATTTTTCATTCCAATTATTATTGTTTCGAGCAAAAAAACATAGGTGTTCCATTTGAAAAACGAAATTTGGTAGCATTTCCGGCTACACCTGATGTGCCAAAGAAATTTGATGCATTTACTAAGAAAACGAGGAATGAATAGTATTATTTAAAAAATTAGTTTTTGAAAAAAAAAAGTAAGTTTACCGAACACTCTGTATTCATATATACACAAAATTTTTCAAAAATTTATTTCTTGCGTATCTACAACGTTTTAACGCTTTTCTGGGTCTTTTGCACTTCTATGAGTGCCTTTCGAGCAATTTTAAAGTTTTTAATTTTTTCAATTCCTGGCAAAATTCCTGTCTTAAAAAAAATATTGTCCTGTGCACTTAACAACAAATGACCAATTTCGCGTTTTAGTTTCAATGTAAAAAGTTCAACTTTTTTCTCTTGAAAAACGTTCTTGGATCGAGTTTCAATTTTTTTCCACAGTCATTTGTAGAAAAATTGAAACTCGATCCCAGAACGCTTTATCTCTGTTTTGTTCCCGAACTAGTGTAATATACTATTTTCATGCACTAGACCTAAAGTTTGCTCTGTTTTCAGAATAATCGAAAGCAAAAATGACAAATTCCCAGTGGGGAAGTACGTGGTTGGTGAATTTGGTTGGCGAACTCATTCAATTTCGAACGGAAGGCCTATGGAAGTTGGTAGACCTGGCGCGTGGCTCGCTCCTGACCTCGAAGGGTTACCCCTATCCTACACCTTGGGAGTTTTGGGAATGCCGGGGTAAAAACCCTCTCTCACTTATTATCATTCTTGTGTTCTTTTTTTCTTAGAAATACAGCATATTTCGGTTTTTTGGAGCTCTGCAAGCCCCAACCCGGCGAAACCGTGGCCGTCACAGGCGCCGCCGGCGCCGTGGGCAGTATCGTGGGTCAAATAGCCAAAATCAAGGGTTGCACAGTTATTGGAATCGCCGGTTCGGAGGAAAAAGGCAAATGGCTGGTAAACGACCTAAAATTCGACCATTTCATCAACTACAAAGACCCCGATTTTGAGAAAAAACTCGCACAAGCGGCCCCCAAAGGCATCGATTGTTACTTTGATAACGTGGGGGGGCAGATCAGTACTATCATCATGAACAAAATGAACCTTTTCGGGAGGGTTTCAGTGTGTGGGGCCATTTCGGGGTACAATGACAAAAGTGCGGCAAGAGCCGATCCAGTCCAGTTTCCCCTAGTTTTCAGTCAATTGAAAATGGAGGGATTTGTCGTCCATAGATGGGCGGATAGATGGTCTGAAGGGATTTTGCAAAACAAACAATGGATCAAAGAAGGGAAAATGAAGTACAGGGAGACTGTCACTGAAGGGTTCGACAATATGTTCAAGGCTTTCGTCGATATGCTTCAAGGGGGAAACACCGGGAAAGCCGTCGTTAAAGTTTAACTCTTTTGTTATTTTTTTTAATAAAACACAACCAAAACGTTTAATTTTTTTATTACGCTTAAAGACTAGAATACGACACGATGTAAAGCAAAACATCCCCGTTAGTGGGGCCAGATAGCACAGTTGTTCCTTTCCCGTTTAATGAAATAAAAAAATGGCTGTATTTACATAACGGTGAGCAAAACGCAAATAAAAAAATATAGACAGGTAGAGCGTTAAATTCTCAATAATTTTATTGAAAATTATACAGGGTTGTTCCGTGTTTTTGTTACAAACTTAAACAGGTGATAGAATATTCAATTTTAAGACAAAAGATTCCTGAACATGTATCAAAAAATGTTATATAAGCGAGCTACACCCCCTGAAAGAGATGAGTTTTTAATGGGGTTTTCCCACTATTGCAGAATAGATAAAATTACAAGAGTTGGTACAGCTGATTACTTTTAAACACCTGAACGAATTTAAATTTTAAAATTTTTAATCACGGGTTTCTTAAATGGTGCTACAAATTTAATTTTTATCCTCTTTATGGTCTGTAAGACAAACTGTAAACTGATTTTACTCAAAAACGGTAAGTTTTATCGAAAAAACGCAAAAGACCTCTTTTTTGTGAAAAACTATGAAATTTAGAATTTTGTGGCTGAAACTGACAAAAACCAACCGCCAAAATAGTTACGGTACCTTTTACCCAAAACCCCCCAGTTTAGGACGCCCCTGAGTAAAAATTTCGACATTTTATCTTTGAATTCATTTGGGTGTATAAAGGCTATCAGTTGTACCAAATTTTGTAATTTTATCCACGATGGTTTCTGAAATTTTGGAAAAAATCTATTAAAAAATGCACCCCTTTCAGGGGATGTGGCTCCCTTATACAAATTTTTTCGATATATGTTTATAAGAAAGTTTTATCTTAAAATTGAATATTCTATCACCTGGTTAAATTTGTAACAATAAAAATGGAACAACCTGTATTTTAAAAAATTTCAAACATTTAGCAATTTGCCCCGTCTCATATTTTTGAAAATGCTGCGAATACGGTTAAAAGTACAAGCAAAATATAAAAAAGAAAGTTGTAGAGAATAAAATTTTCAAGAAAAAAATCAGCGTAGACCTCTATCTTCAATGGTTTAGGTCCTAAAGACGTTCAAAGACGCTCAAGTGACGAATACGTTGTCATTTTTATTGGTGGTCAAGAGACAAAAAAATAATTTAAACCTAAACGGTTGAAGATAGAGATATGGTCTCGAGGACTTTTTTCTAGGAAACTTAATTATCTACAACTTTGTTCCCTATACTTTTTTTGTATCTTCAACCGTATTCGCAGCGTTCTCAAAAATATCGAAAACAGTGTTAAAAATAAATTATGAACAATTATCAGTTTGCGTTTCGCCCAATATTTTTGAGAACGCTGCGAATGCGGTTAAAGATACAAAAAAAAGGTGTAAGAAACAAAATTGTAGAGAATAAAATGTGCTACAAAAAAGTTCCCGAGACCATATTTCTGTCTTCAACGGTTTAGGTTTAAATTGCTTTAAAACAAATAATAATCAAAACACTTCACAATATGGTAATTTTTTGTTTGTCGGGTAATTAAAAGATGTGGAATTACCTTGTTTTAAAGTAATTCAAGTTGTATTTCTAAAAATTTGCATAGATTAATAGAATTTCACAAGTTTTTAAATCGCCACTAAACCAACAAAAGTTTACAGTATAATCCTTGGCTAAGACCAAATATTTTTTTTAATATTTCTTGTGAACTAAAATACATAATAACAAAAAATAAACATGTATGTAAAAAACGGTTTATAATTAGTAATAACAATAACAATAAAAAAGTGAAGTGAAGAATATAAAATTGATGTTATTTTCTTTGTTTTGCTCGATTTAACTGGTTTTTGAGCAAAAGTCAAAAATAAGCCGAGAAAACACTAACTTGGCCAAAAATGCTTTTTGGTACGTTTTTGTAATAAAATTTCGCCAAAACTAACAAAAAAATTAAGTCAAAAATTATATTATTTACATTACACCCGCGGGAAACAAGTGGCAAAGTAAAACATAAAAGACCAATAAGTTCGGAGTTATTGGCAATAGACTGCTCCGGGTGACAAAAACCGACAAAAATCTCGCCAGAAATCAAAAAAATTTCAACTTTAAAATTGTTCCATATAACGGTTTAGGTTTAAATTGCTTTAAAGTGTTCCTCTGGCACTGAATCAGTAAAAATGAAACGAATCCGTCCTTGAGTGGCTTTGAATGTCTTTGAATATTAAAAATGTATGGTCTCGCGGATTTTTTACTAGAAAATTTTATTCTCTACAACTTTCTTTCTTACATTTTTCTTGTATCTTCAACCTATTCGCAGCATTTTGAAAAACATAAAACGGAGCACATATTTTAAATTTGAAATATGTTTTCTCTCATATTTCTCGTAAAAAATTAGTTGTTCGTTTTTCACAGCTTATTAAGAATGTAAAGCTCAACATTTTTGCATTTTTTTTCAAGCAATTAGTAGTCTGGTGGAATTTAAATTAAATTAAAACGATTTGAAATTGAGACGGTAAAACGCTCTTCTAAGCGCCCTCATTTTTACTTCGCTGTACCACTTTTTTTGGGTCCAATAGTCCGGTCAAATTAGTCATAAAAATAGTGGTCAAATAACGAAAATTGCGACAGAGCTAAATTTTGGTGGAGACCTTGGGTACACCATTAGAAATAAACTTTCAAAAGTCCCCATCGATCCCACGTGTGCTAAAAAAGTTATTCGTGGTCAAAGGTCAAAATTTGACGTTTTTAAATTTATTTCGGAAACGGTAAGTTTTATCAAAAAAGTAGCCCAGACAAAAATTATAGATCTTAAAATTAGCTACAAAACGGTCTTTATACTTTTTTCCTAAGAATCACCATTCCTGAGATATCGCGATTCTAAGAGTTGTAAGAGTAACGTTCTACATCATGTGCACATACAGAGTGCGCCAGAACTCGCGCCCCAGAGAAAAATGACATATAAGGTAAGATACCAGGAACATGGAAAAAATGTTTAAAAAAATATCTATAAAAATTTTGAAGTTATGAGGGTTTAAATTTTGCACTTTGACTCTATTTATTTCTGTTGGAAAAATAATTTTCCAAGTTTTTTTGCTACAGGCTATTAGAAGAAGGAAGCTGTATCCTAAACTGTAACTCTGTTTAATGTTATTTGTGGCTTTTATTGACAAAATTTTTGTACCTTTACTAAATAATTATAAAAAAAACATTAACAGGGTCATCAGTATTATTAAATAGACATAAAAAATGTCAAATGTCAAAAAATAAATGTCAAAAATTTTTGACAGATAGAATTTTTTAAACATTTTTTTAGTACTCTGGGGATTACAATTACTCCCTTTCAAGGAAGTGCGCGATTTTTTAAACAGCCTGTATGTTTTACCAAAAAAATTCTTCTTAATTCCAATGAGATCGAGATATTCATAAGTTTAATGAAGTAGAAGAAAAATTTCAAGTAAGATAAGATAAGATAAATTTTGACATTTATTTTTTGACATTTGACAGTTTTTTATGTCTATTTAATGATACTGATGATCTTGTATATGTTTTTTTATAATTATTAGATACAAAAATTTTGTCAATGAAAGCCACAAAGAACATTGAACAGAGTTACAATTTAGGATACAGCTTCCTTGATTTTTCTTCTAATAGCCTGTAGCAAAAAAACTTGGAAAATTGTTTTTCCAACAGAAATAAATAAAGGCAAAGTGCAAAATTTAAACTCTCATAACTTCGAAATTTTTATAGATAGAATTTTTTTTTATTTTTTCCATGTTCCTGGTACCTTACCCTACATACATACACTTTTTTTGGAGGCGCGAGTTCTGACGCACTCTGTATGTGCATATCATGTAGAACGTGACTCCTCCAACTATTAAAATCGCGATATTTCAGAAATGGTGATTCTTAGAAAAAAAGTATAAGGACCTTTTTTGTAGATAATTTTAAGGTCTATCTTTTTTGTCTGGACTGCTTTTTTGATAAAACTTACCGTTTTCGAAAAAAATCCAAAAAACCTCAAATTTTTACCTTTGACCCCGAAGAACTTTTTTAGCACACATGGGATCGATGGGGACTTTTGACACTTTATTTCTAATGGTGTACCCAAGGTCTCCACCAAAATTTAGCTCTGTCGGAATTTTTGTTATTTGAACTGTCTATTTTGACCGGACTACAAAAAATCGAGCAATTTTGTATCTCGTTTCGTCTCCTAGTATGTAGTTTTCCGTAATTACGCTTTGACCACAGCCTTCCCTACATTACGGCCCTCAAGCATGGCAATAAAGGCCTTAACCATGTTGTGGAAACCCTCAGTTAGAGTCTCCCGGTATTGCAATTTGCCCTCTTGAATCCATTTCATATTTTGGGAAATCCCCTCAAACCAACGCTCCTGCCATCTATACACGTTAAAACCTTCCATTTTCAATTGCTTCCGAATCATGAGGTACTGAATGGGACTTGCTAGAATTCACAATGACGTTTTAAAAAAAAATCCGTGGTACTACCTTTGATTGAAAAATCATTGTTGTATCCTGAAACGGCCCCACAGACCGAAATTCGGCCAAACTCATTCATCCGAGTCAAAACAATCGACGCGATCTCCCCTCCAACGTTATCAAAGTAGCAATCAACCCCATTCGGGGTCACCCCTTCGAGTTTGGTCTCAAAATCAACATCTTTGTAGTTGAGGAAATGATCAAATTTCAAATCACCAATCAGCCATTTGCCCTTCTCCTCCGAACCGGCGATTGCTATAACCGTGCAACCCTTAATTCTGGCAATTTGCCCCACGATGCTCCCCACTGCGCCCCCAGCCCCCGTCACGACCACAGTTTGGCCAGGTTTAGGTTGACAGATTTCCAGAAAGCCGAAATAGGCCGTGTTTCTACTAGGGTTAGGTTTGCACAAGTGACAATGCTTACCCTGGCATTCCCAAAACGCCCAGACTGTAAGAAAGGGGAAGACCCTCAAGGTCGGGAACGAGCCAGAAGTCCGAATTTGAATCACAAATCGTGTGGGTGCGCCAGCCGAAGCGCCCAACTAAGTGTTCTCCTACAGGGTGTTCGGGGTTTTTACTTTCAATAACTCTAAAGAAAGGCTAAGTTTGGTTTGGGGGTGGTTTTAGGTACCTACTTGGCCACTTGGGAACCGATATAAGTCGCCCCAAGGTCCACTCCTGGTGCCCGAGACCTCATATAAGGGTCAACGCTCAAAAATACAGCTTTCGTGAGGAATTCTAAAAATATTTTTTTGGCGAAATTGTCGATTTGGGAAACCTCACCTCCATCTCGGAGTGGTGGTAGTTCCTCCTCGACCAATTTCAAGTCGGTTTCTTTTGGAAGACCGTCGAAGGGGCTGTGGTAGACGAATTTTCGGGCTTTCACCATATCTACTGTAGGAGTGATAAAGCGATTTTGTGTTGCAGTTTTATTGCATACAAAACAATACTTTGTATATGCATTTGCAAATATTATCGAAGGAACAATAGAACAGGTTTAAAAATGCTTGAGTTATTTAATATTAACAAAGTGGTAACAAAAAACTATTAAATCGAGTTTCATATTAATGAAGCTAATCTTGTCATCAAAATTAATCATCAGCGTCTGACTGTCGCGTCTTATGACAAGAAAATATAATCAACAAATAGAAAAACAAATAATAATCAAAACACTTCACAATATGGTAATTTCTTGTTTGTGAGTAATTAAAAAATGTTGAATTGCCTTGTTTTAAAGTTATTCAAGTTGTAATTCTAAAAATTTACATAGATTAGAACCACTAAACCAACAAAAGTTTGCGGTATAATCCTTGGCTAAGGCCAAATATTTTTTTAAATATTTCTTGTGAATTAAAGTAAATAACAAAAAATAAATAAACATGTTTGTAAATAACGGTTTATAATTAGTAATAACAATAAAAAAGTGAAGTGTTTTAATATTTGTGACAAAAAATTTTTTTGGCAACACTACTTAGTAGGCACATAGATTTTTCAGCTAGAACATAGAAACACAATTATTTTGCTAAAAACAAGTCACAATTTTAACAAACTGGAACAAAAATAGTGTTTTTTGCCTTTTCTGGGCGTTTAAGCAATCAACCCAAAAAATTTCGTTAAAACAGGCTAAAAAAAATAAAAATTAAATTCACATTAGTATTTATTAGCTTGTTTTATTTCGTTTTTAAACCAAAGATTATTTCATTTTGTAAAATATTGTCCAAACACGTCTAAAAATAACAAAAATAAAATAAAATTGATGTTATTTTCTTTGTTTTGCTCGATTTAACTGGTTTTTGAGCAAAAGTCAAAGCCGAGAAAACACTAACTTGGCCAAAAATGCTTTGTAATGTCGCCAAAACTAAGCAAAAAATTAAGTCAAAAATTATATTATTTACATTACACCCGCGTGTTGGAGCCCCCATAACGGGAAACAAGTGGCAAAATAAAACATAAAAGATTATTACCAATAAGTTCGGAGTAATTGGCAATAGACAGAAATCAAAAAAATTTCAACTTTAAAATTGTTCCATATAACGTTTTTTTACATTTCTAGAGGTCATAAAGACTCAAAAAAGTGCATAAAACGTTATTGGGTCAAGTTTAAAAAATTACGAATTTTTTGAGTTTTTAAAGGTGAGCGGTAGTAAAATTGTAAAAATACTCAATTTATCTTAAGTCGTAAAAACGCTTGAAATATGGTTTTCTAGACGTAAAATTACTCGCTGAACACGATTCAACTAGTTAGAATACTCTACGATGCATAGTTTTTGAGATATTTAGTATTAAAGTTTAGAATAAGGCTAGAAGCATAAGCACTATACTTATCCGATTTTGACCAAAAAAATTTTTTTTTATTCTTTTAAAAAACTAGTACTGTATGTAAAATTAACTGGAGAATACGCCTGTCCAAACCGTTTTGACCTAGGACTCAGTTTTTGAGATATGACTTTTTTATGAAAAAAACTAAAACCGGAACCATAACCCGGAGCGAATTCCGGTTTGCGCCATTAGATAGATAATTTAAAGTGGATTTTAATGGTTTTTAACTTTTTGCTCTAGTCTTATAGTTTCGTACAAAAACGCGTTTAAAATTTCACAATTTTGACAATATTTACTTTTTGAACGACGATTATGGCCAAACTATTAGACTTAGAGCAAAAAGCTTAACACCATCGTAATCAGCGTAAAACTGTAAAAAACACATCTCAAAGATATAATATTTTGACCTAGACTTATGTAGGATGTTCCGGAGAATCGATTGGCGTCAAGAAACCTGTAAAATTCCTAATAGTTTTGAATTTATAGTCGAATTTATATTTTTGATATTTTTCACTTTATCAGAAATTTTCGCCTTCTTCTTGGATCCTCTCGATATGGAAACGATAAACAAAAACACGATTAAACCCGTCATACCAAACTTTTATTTCAAACACAAAGCGTTTCAACCACAAAGTGGTCATCCTCAGGTGAGAATAAAAATTTTCTCGATAATTATTTACCGTAAAGCACTGCTTTTTGTATATGATAGAAAATTTAATTTTCTTTCCAACGGTACCAAATATAAGAAGTTATCACCAATAAGTCCGGAGTTATTGGCTATAAACCAATATAAAATCCAAAAAAAAATTCAACTGTAAAATTGTTCCATACAACGTTTTTTTACATCTCTAGAGATCTTAAAGACTCAAAAAAATGCATAAAACGTTATTGGGTTAAGTTTAAAAAATTACGAATTTTTCGAGTTTTTGAAGGTGAAAAATAGTCAATTACATAAAGTCGGAAAAACGCTTGAAAATATGGTTTTCTAGGCGTAAATCGTATTAAAGTTTCACAATTTTGAAAATTTTGATTTTTGAACAACGATTACGGCCAAACTATTAGATAATAATAAGTGTAAATCTCACACTTTTTTAGTTCAATTCTGGTGATTTTTTTTTTTTTTTGGTGGGGCTAGCAATACTGTTCTCAGAAGTTGTTAAGGTATTCAAACGGTACCCTTAAATCTTAAAGGCACTAAATTGAAAAAAAAAAAATCTCGTTAGGTACTGTTTTTATTATTAGTAAGAGAAGAATACATTCAATTAATCGATAGTAGGTTGTTAATTCTAGACATGTTGAAGTTTTAAAGGTTATGAACACAGATAAAGTGATAACAGGGAAATAAAGTAGTATCAGTGGTAGTACTGAATCAACAACAAATTAATTTCAACAAGCACAAGGTCAGCGAATCCGCCTAAAAATAGCAACGATTGTTTGAGTTATGTTTTATTAAGTTGTAATTTCGATAAACATGTTCACAATTCTCAAACAATCCCTATATTTCGCAACCAAATATCAAAGATTCTTTTCAGTAACAATGAAAGGGAAAACAATAATCTTGAACAAAAAATTCCAAGGATTCCCCCGAGACGAAAACTTCAAAATAGTCGAGGAATCGGTTCCGCAAATAAAAGACGGCGAATTTTTAGTACAAGCCGAATATTTGAGCGTTGATCCTTACATCCGTGTGTTTATGAAGGCAGTGGGGGCCCCCATAATGGGGGAACAAGTGGCAAAGTAAAACAGTCTCAATTTCGAAATAACTAAACTGACCGAAATTGCAGAATAATTGAGAGTAAAAACCCGAAATATCCGGTTGGGGAGTACGTCGTGGGGGAGTTTGGCTGGAGGACACACACCGTAGCCTCAGAAAAACCCGGAGACTTCTTCAGTCTCCCACCTCGAGTCCTCTCTTTCGGCGATTTGCCCAAATCGCTGGCTTTGGGGGTCTTGGGAATGACGGGGGTCACAGCCCTGTACGGACTGCAACTGTGCGAGCCCGCCGAGGGCAAAACGCTAGTCGTTTCAGGGGCTGCGGGGGCTGTAGGGACCCACGTGGGCCAGCTAGCCAAGATGCAAGGGTGCAAAGTGGTGGGTGTCACCGGTTCAGATGCAAAAGGCCAACGACTGGTCAAAGAACTCAACTTTGACGCTTTCGTTAACTACAAATCTGAGAATTTTGAAAAAGACTTGGCGGCAGCAACCCCACAAAACATCGATTGTTACTTTGACAATGTGGGGGGCGACGTGAGCAGTTCTGTACTGCACCGAATGAACAAATTCGGTCATGTGGTCATCTGTGGGGCCATTTCCACTTACAATGATGAAAACACCAAAGGTGACATAACCTCAATTTTAGTTTAGTCTAGTATTATTTTAAAAAATTACAGCACGGGAAGTGCAAACACCAGTGAAGGTTAATCACCTCGTAATGGAAGGATTTAGCGTAACTCGCTGGCGAAACAAATGGAATAAAGCCGTTGAAGATAACCTCAAATTAATTCAAGAGGGGCGTTTGAAGTATTTTGAAACTATCACAGAGGGGTTTGAAAACACACCGGAAGCATTTATGAAGATGCTACGGGGCGAAAATTTCGGAAAAGCCATTGTTAAAGTGTAAATAAATGATTGTGAAAAGATGTGTCATTTGAGGTTAGGGTTGACATGTGAGGGTACTTACAGCCAAGTCCTGATAACTTTCGAAATAATCACTCGAGTCCATTGCTTCCACCATTTATAAGTCAGTTCATAAGTCTTCGGGCCGTATTAACGCACAAATTTGTATTTTTCTGGAAAATAAACAAACTGATTCAACTTGTTCATTTGTGAACGAGCCACACTTAAATTTTCTATAAAAATTAATAAAACCGCAATGACGAAATTTAGTTACTCAATTTATTGCACAAGTATTTCAGTAACATAACTTCGTGTCCACTCCTTTAAAAAACTTTGCAATAGAAAAAAAGACAAATCTCAATTTTTTGTGAACAAGCCTTTTTCTACAAAAGAAAATCCCTAAAAACGTCAAAATTGACAGGTGTCAACGTCCTAACCTCAGATTCCAGATGTAGTACAACTCCTCCAAAAATGATGAAACAAAGGCAAAAGTGAGTCTTCACCCTTTATTTTATCCAAAATACGAAATTTTGCACTATTCCAGACCGAAATTAGACGCCAGTTATAAGAAAATTAGTAAACACAGTGATAGCGATGACGAGACTGAATTGTTTACATTACGGAAACCCTCACCTCGAAAGGAAAAATCGACGGTTGAGAAACTCGTAGAGGAGGGCGACACCCTGCAGTCCCTCGCAATCCGTTATTGTTGCACTGTGAGTTCTCGCGATTTTTTAAATCATTTTTCAACTCAATTTCCAGATTGAAGATCTGAAACGCTTGAATAACATCCACAAAGAAAATGAGATTTTCGCCAAAAGGACGATCAAAGTGCCCCAATACCCCATCGCGATGGCTCTGGCTGGGGTGCACGTCAGCGGCAGAAGTTCCCCCGATTATCCCTCACCCAGTACTCAGGTTGATACCGATCAACTGACAAGTAGCTTAAAGGAAACGGAAGTTAACCAAATTATTTTTAATAGTAATTTAACGCAAAAGAGTCATGACGTGGCGGGAGAGGAAGAGACGAGTGAGGACGATGAGGAGGTCCATTTGTTGCCCCAGAGCGTCCCCGAGGAACCGGTTGTGACTAAAATCGACTGCAGCGGAGTCGATGGTGATATTTCGTTAAAAGCTCTCATTTTGTGTATAGTCATTGTTATATTCGCGGTGCCTTTAATTTACGTTTTCTATTTGGCGGAGCACCCCAAACAGCACCACCACAACCACGTGTCATGATATTTTATTGTGGTGATAGCAGCTAATCTCATTAAGTATTAAGTAGCTTTTATTGTATATAAGCACAGTATTTTAGTAGGTGCTAACGTTGTTGAACATATAAATTTTATTGATCAAAGTATTTTTAATAAAACAGAATTTTACTTGAAATGTTTTATTGATCAGACATTTATTTCTTATCCACTGATTATAAGAACCTAAAACTATAAAAATATTTGGTTGTATATTTGCAATTCGATCATGGAACAATGTAAAATGAAATTGAACAAAAACCTAATTTGTACTGAATTGTTCCCTGATGCACAAAAATGCAAACGCATCGTTGGTTAGTACTATACATCAAGTTGGGTTAAATGTATAATTGCTATAAATATATAAAATAATATTAAACGCATGGTTTATACAACACCATGCGTCCAATTCACAATATACTCATACAAAATGTAACAAAAATACTTTGATTCTTCTCAAAAATTGTAAAAATATAAATACAATAAGAAAATTTCGTGATGTATGTCTCAAATAATGCCCGCGAAGCTATTCTTGGAATGTTCGAAATAAATGTTTCAGTTGCGGATCTTCTGGCAGGGCATGAGATTAGTAACTGCTGCGGTCTGCGTTGTTGTGGACACTGCAAAAGAAACAACATTTAGACTCGATTTCAACACAAAACACTACTAAAACACCGTCACACCTTCAATTGTTCTTCTTTACATTTTTTATCCAATTAGTTTTTAAAGCGATTATTTGGCGTGTTTGTCATCCATTGAAAATTACCATCACGTTTTCGTCCAATTAAGGTGTGTTGGAAACAGTTTGAGCAGTTTGACATTAAAATGGTGCATACATGAATAATGCAACAGATGAATTCGTCCTATTTACATAAACTGACTTACAATCGGTTAAATGCAATGAATCACCACCAGACATTTAATAGCGAAGTTCCACGAAGCCATCGAACGGCTTTGTGGGATGATTAGTGATTCCTTGTTACGTAAAAATTAGAACAACAAAATCACTAGTCTTCCACACAACACCATTCATGTTAGTCACTCCACACCAGGATTAGTTTTAGTCCACCCGCCAAGAACAAAAGAGAGAAGTGTTGCACACTGCAAGAGCGTTTACAAAAAACAAACACCACAACCCCCAAAACCCATGTTAGTGTGCGACCTCACCTTTGCTGGAGTAAGTACTGCGCCATCTGGATCTGGTTCGGTGTACCCGAGATGGTGATTATGCGATCATTGGACCCGGGAAGGGGTTCGTCGATCGTGATCCCGGCGCCGGAGTCCTGCCGGATCTTGCGGATCCTGCCCCCGCCCTTGCCGATTATAGCCCCCGCCAACTACAAAAAACAAATTAAAACAATTATCCCCAAGAAAATCAAAGTGACAGTTCACTTGAATGATCGATTTCTACACTTACATCTTTGGGTATTGTCACTTGTGTCGTCGTTTTGCTCCCGGTGGGGCCCCCGTTTTGCGGCCCCATTCCCCCCGATTGCATAGGGGGTTGACTTATTCCATTACTGGCCATCATAGTTGGTGGTGGATGGTTTATCATTGAAGTGGTATTTGTGGGAGGTGCCCAACCATTTCTTTCGAAAGGAGGAGGACGATTAACGCCGTTAAGGCCGTTACTGTTGTAATCGCTGCGTTGGGATATGCTGTTCCCTACAGGCCGGTCGTTGAAACTAAAAACACAAATGAAAAAAATTGAATTTTAACGGCCTTTCATTCAGCAAACCGTTATTTTATCTCATAGTGACACACGTGAAAATGCAAAAAACGACTTCAATATTTTATAAACAAAAGTCGACTCTGAGCCAAATGATGTTACATTTGATTATGATATAAATCCTTCAGTTTTCGCCTCATTAAATCGTACAGTTTGGACAAGTTATATGTAATCTGGCGTAAAATTGGACCGAAATTTTTCATAAATAAACAACTCAGCCAAAATTATTCACACAACTAGAACTCTAGAAGTTTTAAGTTCTATAACTATTTCAAAAATAAACTAAAAAACAAATTCAATGTCACTGATTTTTTTGTTGATTGCCTGAAAACCAATAGGATGATAAATAAAGTACTTCATAAAAAAATATCCCAAAAACAAAACTTATTCAATTCTTAAAAAATTCAACAACCAAATTTTGTTATTTTAAAATGTTTTAAAACATTACAACAATCCCTCAATCGATTAAGGTAAAAAAAAATGTTTAAAAACGGCATAAAGAGGACAAATCACAAAAAAATAGTATAAAAACCCCGTTTCATAAGACCTTGTGAAATTTTTAAATGTGTTTTTGCAAGTTTAGATATTGTTTAAACCAGTATTTCTAGACACTTCCTTAGTCTCCCCTACTGTCTTTGGCAACACGATGTTTTAAATAATCTCGATTCACATTTTTTTAATTTAAGCATTTTTTTAAGAAATTTCCAAAAGTTTTTTTGGAAGTCTAGAAATTTTTTAATCCAGTACCAAAATACTTTGGTCGTCAATGTGACTTGAGTGATATTAAATTGTAAAGCATGCTTTAGGACTGTTAACCTTATGTTTACCTACTGTCAATCATAGTTAACAAGTTGTATGTATATATTTTTGATAGGAAAATATAATAGCTGTCATTAATTTGAAATTGTCATTCATTTTAACGTTACAGCTTGAATTATATTAAAGTGTCAGAAAAGTGACGACCAAAGTACATATTTTGTCTCCAACTGTACATCTGACACTTTCTTAGTCTCCCCTACTGTCTTTTGTAGCACGATGTTTTGAAAAGTCTCGATTGACACTTTACTAAATAAAAATGAAACTCTTAATCAAGATCACATTAATTAGTTCACATCAATTAGTTCTTTAAAATAACTCGTGGCTACGCCACTCGTTTTTAAAACTTGAATTCGTGCTTCAAGACTGGTCTTATAAAACTTGTTTTTCAATATACTGTTTTTAGAAACACTTTAGGCAATATTTTTGCCATCTCTGATTGTGCATACTATCGTTTTTAAGTGAGAAATTATTGTAGTATTTCTCCGAAACTAATGCAATTTGAGCTATTTTCAAGCGATTTGGGTACTGCATACGTCAAATGTCAAATACAATAATGAATCCGTTAAAAAAAAACGTTCAATACAAAAAATAGAAAAAAGCCTCATTGCATACTTGTGCATTTGCAATACTTGTTTTTTATTAAAACATTACCTTATGGTGGTGGATCCCCCGCGCTGCGTCGGGGGCCCCCTGTTGTACCGTGCCGGGGCTCCGTCCCGGTACCCGTTTCGATTGCCGCCACGTGGTCCGCCATTCCCGACGTTGGTCGAGCCGCCGCCACCGCCGCTGCCGCCCCCACTCGCGCCGCCTCTCCGTTCGTTGCCGGCACTTCCCCAACCGCCGTACTCTTCAGCATAATAATCGTCGTAATTGTGCGGATCGTAAGGATTTACAATTCCTTTAATTGGATTCTGTAAAGAGGAAAAATTAGAAACGGACGTCGTCATTAATCGCTGATTTCGCTTACCGATTTGATGAGGGTGATGATCTCGCGGATGCTATCGACGCATTTCGACGGCTCGCCGACGATCTGGATTATTCGGTCGGTGCTCTGGGGGGCCGCATTCGAGAAGATCTTGATGCGGGCACCGGTTTTCTGAAAATGAACAAGAAAATTGTCAAAGGGGTGCGGAAAAATCGGCTTTTATTTAATTCGGGATGATTAGAGGGAAGTTCTAAGAAGATTGATTGAAAATTTTAGTGTCCAAAGGCACTCAACATTTTTCAATGAACGCCAAGTCGTCTAATTGACCTTAATTAATCAATGTCAGTAATCAATATTTACAGAGAGTAGGTTACTGCTTGATTTGGGTAAAATAGGTGAATAATAATTGCAACATGGAGTCAAAACCCTCGTCAACTTCTGCATTCCCAATATGTCCAAAACTGTAAACGAAATCAAGTCGGATCAATTGCTAATCAATTGACACATAACAGGGTGGAATTTGTTATTGTTAAATAACAATTTAAAGAAAGTAGTAATCAATTAGCTCACTTTTTTAATAAAGTAGAATTTAAAATTTTTACAAAAAAAGTGATGGGAAAAAATTATGTTTGTGTAATAGCACAAATGATCATTTTACGGTTTTATAAAGCCCCTTGACAGAAGAAATATTATATAACGTAATGGATATGACGTGCTTAGCTTTCCTTACGAAGTGATTAATGATAAAATACACAATTTTTAATTCTCGCTAACTTTTTAATAAAAATTTAAACATAAACTTTCACGTTGTTCGCTGCATCAAAATTACCTGAATTAAAATGAACAAAATAAATGATTTAATAAACTTAGTTTTTTATTTTCCATTCTGTAAAATAATGTAAATTTATACTTTGTGTTAGTTCTCTCCTTCCTTTGAAAATTTATTTCGAATAAAAACTATATTTCCGATTGATGTTCCATATTTTAATTAAAAATTCAACAAACGCCTATGTACCTACCTCTTTGTTGTCAATCTAATTTCCCGAATTTACAAACAAATATTGTTCCCAATTTAAATCTTTCATTTTTAAAATCTATTTGTGATATTTAATAACCATCTGAATTGAATTCAACATTTAATTAAAACCCACTTTTAAAGGCAAACCCAAATAATAAAAGGAATTTCATTTCAATAAAATAAACAGATCAAAATATACATAAACTGAACTGTTTTATAAATAAAATTAAAATAACTGAAGAATTTTCATAAATGGAAAGAGGTGAATTAATTACACTAAAAGTGTTCTTTTGTCGTTATTTAATTTCCAAATACGCGTAAAAATTAATTTGAATTTAATTTTTGTTACGCTTCCGAGAAACCACTTTCTTTAAATTAAATTATTATACAGTTTAGTTCATTTTTCTCGTCACTTCTTCGAAATCTGCACACTTTTAAAGTTGTAACTGAGTATTTCTTATCATTTGAAAAAGTTTAAAGATTTCAAATTAAATTTTATTCTGAAATGAATTATTACAATTTCAGGATTTGTTAAAACAACATTGAAACTATTAGGTCCACTCACTTGAGTGTTTGTACTCAAATGTGAACAAACATATCGACATTTCCACCACACATTAACCACTTTTCTTGCATAAAATCCCACTTTTCATCATTTGACAACCATAAAAACTCGTAAATCGATGAAATGTGCTCAACCACTTGCACGAATTTTAAAAACTACCACTCGACCAGCGACCGTTTCGCTCCAGCACGCGCCAAAACAGCCCCCGACTACCAACCGGCGTGCAATGCACAGGCGGCAAGCAAGCGCCCGCAGCTGGTATTGATTGGGGGGCGCCGCGGCGCGCCGGCCTGACTCCGCACGCGATAGACCTGGCTCACCTGTCGTCTGTCACTTGCGGGACTCTTTCAGCCCTTGCCACCACAAGAAAAAAAAAACCTTCCACGAGGGTCTTGCTTGCGGTAGCGCAAAGATTAACTCATGCAAGAAATTAATTATGGCCGCCACCACCACCGTCCTAGAATTGTTAATGTGCGCGATGTATCATGCGTGTCGGGGTGGTCGCCCTGCCAACTCTGATCCTCTTGGGGGGTGCGTGTGCTGGAGAAGAACCAAGGGTTTGTCTTGGACGGAATTACCACGATGAGCGGCTTTGCGCGATTATTTTCCATCTTGTTGTTATGTACCACCGAATCGAGGCGAGAACAAAAAATGGGATTTACGCAACAAGTTGATAAACAAGTTTTCTCATTAAAATAAGACTTTTTCGCAAATCGTCCGTAAAGTAACCCAAACTAGTTAGTGTACTTTTCCGGACTCATATGTCATCAATGAAATCGTACGTAAAGTTGACAAGAGTAGTATGCATGTTGCATGGTTTTCCAATTTAAATACTAAGACATCTAGAAATATTTTTTTACTACCGCAAAGAAGAAGGTACAAGCTATAAGGTTGTAACAATTTTTTTAGTGTGTTGCATTTGCAAGATAGAAAAATAAAGGCGTTTGTTAAAAGTTCAATAACTTAAAAAATTAAATAGAACACCCTATTTATTGTTTTTGTATTTAAAGGATTATTAAATTCTTTCTAAAATTATTTACTTTTAGGTGTTTATAATCAATAACAAAAAGATATTTAACGTTACACATTAAAAAAATAATTACTATTTTGTTTCAGTAGCCAAAAAGTGCACAGTTTCACAAGAGATGGAACAAGTATCACTTAATATTTGTGTTAAACTGAATCCATTATTCTTTATTTTTACAATGAAATAATTCGAATTTCAACATTTATAACAAACAGCAAAATCTAATATCAGTTTGGTAATCTCTGGAGTTCCACACGCTTCAATTTTGGGACCCATATTGTTTGTAATATATACAGCTGAACTTCTAAAATTAGCTAAAAGTACAAAGGTCCGAGCTTTTGCAGATGACACGCAGTTGCAAATAAACTTTACTCCAGATCATTCACTTGCTGCTTCTGTTGCCATGAGTAAGGATCTGGAATCTATTGCATTAGCAATACGCAGAATTATCTGCGCGTAAAATGAACTTAAAATGAAATTCTGATAAATGTACAGTTCTACTCTGTTTGTCAAATAAACGTATCTATGATTCAGTGATTCAGAATTTAAATGTGAAAATAGATAATAAAAGTCTTCCCATTGTGCAGTCTACCAAATGTCTTGGATTAATAATTGATAGAGATTTAAGATTTACTGATTATGTATCATCTGTTATTAAAAAAATGTTATGTCGCTCTTAAACTTCTGTATTCCAATTATAGTATCTTAAATTTTAAACTTCGTAAAAAACTTTGTGAAACCCTTGTGCTTTCGTTTATAAATTATGGTCTCATTATTTACTATCCTTGCTTAGACAGTGTTAACAAATATCGTTTGCAAAAAATTCAAAACAATTGCTGCCGTTTTATTTTTAAAGTTTAAAGAAGCACGATCATGTATCAGAAAAAATTAAAGACCTGGAATGGTTAAAAATTGATAAACTTTTCTGTATTTTCTTATCGCTTATTCTTGACATCGACACCTTTCTACCTAAGGAGTAAGTTTCATTCTAGAAAAAGAATTCTTACCGTCAAAACCAACCTTCGTAATTTAAATGAGTTATCGAAGCCACAGTTTCGTACCGCATTGTATCAAAGATCATTCACTTATAACGTAATTAGAACATATAACAAATACATCGAGATTTTTAATTCTGGAAATTCAGTGTTTACGTTCAAGTCTAAAATTAAGAACTTGCTTTTGAATGATTAACTTTGTTCAACTGAGTTGGATAACTTTTGGATAATTTTTGTTTTTTTTTTTATTTTCTTGATTGCCTTTAAATTTATTTATTATAAGTGGGGATTTAATGGTTTTATGGATTTATCTAACTATGGTTGCCATAGTATCAACAATGCTCAGATATTGATAAGCATCGTTGCTACAATTAATATTGAATGTGTAATATCTGTTCATTTATTAATTCTAGACATTAAAAGTTTATTTTTTGAAGAGACATTTTATCAATCTATTCCTAAGATGCAAAAATAAAAAAATAGAGTGTTCCATTTAATTTTTTTAAGTCATTTAACTTTTAACAAACTTCTTAATTTATTAATCTTTACAAATGCAAAACACTAAAAAATTGCTACCGCTTTAAATTCTGTACTTTCTTCTTTGCAGAAGAAAAAATTTGTTCTGGCGGTCTTTTTGTGTAATAAATTTTTAAAAATGCATGTTTTCGTCAAAAACCGTCTAAAACTAAACTAAGCGAAATCGACTAATAACGTTTAGCATTGTACTAAAAGGCTACATCCAAAAATGCCAAAAAACATACGGTGTTTCATTTAAAAAAACACAAGTTTGTATCGTAACTTATTTTTGGAACATGCTGTATGGTCGAAAATAATTTTAGGTGATGCACTAGATTAGTATCTATCAATGCCCTATACAATTTTTTAAATTTTACCATTTAAAGGTCACTAATGGACTTTTTCAACACGCTGGGACACCCTGCGTACATAATAATTTCGTCTATCGACTCGAAAAATTAACTTTATCGTAAACGTTCCAAAAATGACCACTTTTATGTTTAAATGTCAAAAGAAAAAATTTTACCTTGCAGTCATGAAGCAAAAATTCTATTTTTGCGCCTAAGCGATTTTAATTTTGTCATGACATTATTGACATTTAGCAATGTTGTCTCTTTGGCTGCTTTAGGCGACACCACCACCACGCCGCCGATAGTCTCAATGTTTTAATTCAATATACAGGGTGATTCAGATAAGATAATGAGCCCGACGTTCTGGCGATGCAACCCAAAAAACAAATTTCATTTACGTCTTGATCTAATTTTAATTACGATTTGCATTTGCAATCAAAGTTATCTTATGTTGCTCTGACAGTGCTTTGACAAGCAATTTATGATTTATAAATAAACTGTTTGCCTACCTTTAATGTTTTATTCTTTCATACATTTTGTGTTGGGTTTACATCGAAAAGACTTTTCTAATTTCTCTATCATTCCGCGAGAACTGAATGGCAATAATGTCAGAGTGACATAAGATGATAACTTGGATTCAACTTGCATTAAATTGGATCAAAGGCGTAAATGAAATTTGTTTTTTGGGTTGCATCGCCAG